TAGTTTTCAGGGAGGAATATGAGAAGCTCTTGCTCTTTTCCCTCCTCACCCCCTGAAAGCCTGCTCACTGGCTAGATCAGGCACAAATTCTTTACCGGAATTTTGGGCGGACTACCTCTTCCAAGCTAAATTACTCACAACATATCTTTTTATTTCAGCACTGACGTTAGCAATATTATTAAATCACAAGATGAAGATGGCCATAGAACTGTCCAATTAGACTACCAAGAAGCAGTTGTTTTCTTTGGATTCTACAAGAAACAGTTAAGATTTCAAATAACTGCAACGGCACTAGAGGAAAACTCTGTTATCCTGAACACAGCCAACCTGACTGGTGGTTATTTTCAAATAAACCAAAAATGGGTTTTGTCTGATTCTAAGAATGGAGAGGAGGATGGAACATTCTTAGAGGATCATTTTACGTTCACGACTCCACGTATTTTATCAAGACTTGCTAAACCTCAAGCACAGGCTGCCCACACTGGTTTGTTGGAAAATATCTGGAGATATTTTAAAGACATCAAGGAAATTTAATGTCCAAAATTATATCATAAATTACGATAAAATGACTAACAAACTTAAAGACATCCCTTTAAACCCATATAATGTCAATTGGTGGTTGAGTTTTCTACAGGACAGAATACAAAGGGTGGTAAAAAATAACGTTCTATCATATAAACACCAATGAAACACCAAGTGAGTTTTTGCGCGAAAACTTGATATCTTCACATGTGAAAATATCACCTTTCCTATGGCTACATAATAAATCACGCCTTTCACACCAAAATACTATTCAAGTGAAATGGTTTGGTATTTCATTAGTGTTTATATAATAAATAGAACATTACATGGCCGCTTGGAGACACGATATTTCTCTTCTCGTGTTGAGAAAATATTTCACTCGTTCGCTGTGCTCACTCGTGACTTTTTTTTTTCTCTGCACGGCAATGTAATATCCTCTATATCTGTGATTGGAAGCATGTAAATAAGGGTACTACACAAGGAAGTATGAGCAGCCCTTATTTATTAATTAAGTATTTTTCCTAATGACTTAGAGATCAGTATAGGTGGGGAAAGTGTCTGTATTAAATATGCTGATGACTGAACAATTGTTGTTCCTGTGTTTAAGAACAATGAGCCAGCAGCTGAACTTGTTAATAGTTTTTAGAATGGTCTGGTAGAAATTCAATGAAATGTAATACCTGTAAGAGTAAGAAGCTTGTTTCCCGAAAGAAGAGACATAACAATGTTTATAAAATGATTTCAAAGATACCCTATGTTCCGGACTCACTGTCCTTGAACTGAATTTCCAGCAAGACTGTAGATTTGATAAGCATGTTAAGGACAAGCTAACTAAGGCCAATAAATGCCTTTATGTTACAAGATCTTTACGAAGGGTGGGATGTAGTCAGCTTGAGGTAGATTTAAGACCATAGTTTTACCCAATGTCACCTACACACATTTTCTAGACAGATGCCATAAGAGGCGATACATTTCAGTTAGATATGTAAGAATTTCATTGGTAAAACAAGACCAGAAACCTTTTAAGAAAATTTCTCAACTAAGTACCCACCCTCTACATGATCGAGCAGGTCCCAAAGACTAAGGTCATCAATAATATAACTTATGCAACAAGAATAGCGCTCGCAGTCTAATAATTATTTATACAGAACATTTTAAGAATACTTTTATCAACAGACTTACCTAAAGACACAAGCTTATTATGTAACAAACCACTAAGTTTTGTTATTTATTAATTTCTCTATTGGCTGTTATATTCTTAAAATATGTAACATAAAATATGCAGCTTTAAAAATCTTATGAAAAATAACTACATTTATCTTTATTAAATACTATATCTGTCAAAGACCTAAAAAAAATAGTGATTAGAAACGACTTTAGCTTCTGACAGATATTTATTTAATAAGTACTTTCTCAGCCAGAAGAGTGTAGAATTGTGGTTGTGAGTTTGGTCCCTGGGGCTAGACTATCGATCACAGTTATTACATTACTTTACAAGATGGCACTGTTTTTACCCTGCAAACAGTTAGGGTGTAAGACCTTTGCCAACATCATTCCCAGGGCCTACAGAGGAAAAAGAGGACCCAGGAAATGAGGTTGGACCTTAACATCTTTGTCATCATTATCATCATCATCTTTATTTAATAACGGAATCTCCGTGCAAAAATCATTAAATAAAATAACATTAGATAAGTGTAGTTATTAAAATGGTTATAAAATTACAAATGTGAGACAAATAACTTCAAACTTGAAAAAACTTTAAAGAACCTGTAGGAGGCAGCGCTCAAAAAAAGTACCGCCAGGTAGTCCGGGACATGTACAGATAGATTTTCTTGCTGTACAAGTAACTTTTGAGGCTCACTTGCCCAAAGGGTCCAGGTAATTAGTCATTCTCTAACAAAATAACTAAGATGAGTACAAAGTGGCCCCAGAAAGCATAATGTAAGAGCTCTTGTCCATAGAAAAAGCTGAAATTTAATAAGCTATTTTTCAAGCGCTGGGAGGTCCAGCTGGAGTGTGAGTTCATCCAGTCTGGCGGTTGTCAGTACAAGGTTTTCAAAACTGTTTAACTGATTCAACAGCTGTAGCCGGGTGTCAGATGTACAGCTGTTCTTATGCCATACAGCATAAACAAGAGAACACCATCAAAACAAACATAAAGATCATTGTATCATTGGTGTTCAGACTTCCATCTTGTTTTCATCTTGTGGTTCAACAATTCTTAAACATTCATCTACAAACTCTGTAAATATGGGAATTTGCATTGCTTGTGTGAGAAGTTTTCCAGGATCTTCTGAAGAGTCAATTTCTTTAATCATTTCTCGCAAGTGCTTGTTATGTAGCATGTTGCATAGTTCTTGGGAATTACCTTGAGAGAAATAGTTACAAGTCAGTGAAGATCATCAGCCATCAGCAAGTCCTTGTGAACCTGAAGTTTGTTTCGTCCCTAATATTATGTGTCACTAGAAATTTTCTCACATTGTAAACAGTCTTACTGACTGTTAGCCAGCTTGATGACTACTATGGAATTTACATTCCACTGGGAATGACTGATAGGGACAATTCCATCATAGTCTACAGACAACACAACCTCATTCCCAGGGTTCTCTCCTACAGGGTTGTTGGTGACATTTGAGTTCTTGATTCTTACGTGAAGCAAATGAACATTGAACTGCAAAAGGCTTGAATGTGTAAGGGGGACATACCCTCTGCTTTTGTGAAATTAGACTCTCTGAAATGCCAATTTCCACATTCCCTGGATCAGTAGTGGTTAAATGGTAGGAGTCTTTTCTGATGTGCAGTACAATGTAAAAACAGTAATTCACATCAGGGCATTTACAACTCTCAAATAACCCTGCTGAGAGTGCAACATAAAGAGACCATCAGCTTAAAGAGGCCATCACCATCAGAGAATACCAAGATACCAATGATAGACACTTGCGGGCATAATTATTTTTACAAACTCAGTAACTGAAATGATATCTATTATTATGCAAAATCGTAGTGGACAAGGGGACCAACTCCCAAGGGGATTGAAAAATCAGATCAATTTAGGTTCTGGGAAACTGCCCACCTATCCCTCCCTTAAGCTAACATAAACACTTACTTTTCACTTAGGGCAAAATGATGGCTTAGGGGAGGGGTAGGTGGGCAGTTCCCAGAAACCTAAATTGATCCGAAAAATCTTCTCACAAAACAAACATCACGAGAGATTTTTCCAATCTAAGTTTAAGGAAAGTTGACAAGAAATCATCAAATTTTTGGCAATATTTTTATTATATACACACCCAGTTTATCAAGAATATGTCCGCTGACTCTGTCTTCATCACCTGACTCTTCATCTGAACCAGAGATTTCACCTTCTTCTGTTTTGAAAAAGAAAAAAAATAATGAGGTGAAATCAAATCACATATGTGAACTGAAGTTTAAAAGATATATGGACATCGCTTACCTTTGTATACAGTACATGCATTATTTGAGCTCTTCTCGACTACTTGTTGTCTCTCTTCCTTTCTTCTTCTACTTTCTCTATCACATAAATCATCTACAATAAACAAGAACACAAAGGCTACTCTTAAAAATGAAAATGGACCATTGAGGAAACAATGTTAAAAACGAACAGTGACAACTGAAATCCCCTCACCTTAGTTAGGTCCACACAAATATTATTAACACTCTAGGTATTAAGGCTTGGGATGCATTCAATTGGAAAATCTGGATTTTATAGATTTTGAAATCCGGATATATGATTTTCAATAACATGTGAAATCCAAGAACAGATGTAAATTGCACAAAATCTGTCCTTGGATTACCTTAAGTTTCCTTCAGTCTTACTGGGAAATGCGAAAATGGATTTGAAAAAGACAATCTACATTCTCAAGAACAGCAGTCCAGCACACCCATGCATAGTAAGTAGAAAAAGACCAGTGTTCCCGACAACAGTTTCACAAATCCTTTTTCGGATTTTCCAATAAAGTGGTAAAGAAGAAAATCCATGAAATCCAACTTTGGGTATCTTAATTGAAATCCACCTTGAGGCTGAATTTCTACAATAAAAGTTGAAATCTGATTTTGGATTTTGGATTTCGTTGCAAGATCTGAAATCCGACTTTCAAAACCTAAATCCAAATTTCTCAATCGAAACATGCCTGGAGAATACCATATTTCCTCTGAAAAACTCCCTAGCCTCTAATAGACCATTCCCATAACACTGTGAACAAAGGCACCAACTGGAGGTTGGAGTGATGAAATAACAGAGATTTGCAGGAAACAGTCTACTTTGAAAAAGACTTCAAGGCTAAGCTTGACCCCCTATGATTGTGCACGCTTACTGGAGAGGAATGCGGGAAATATCTCTACACCCCATAGAAAGACACTGAAAAAAAATACGGTCTCTGGTCCCCAGGGGGCTAAATAGAGAAAAATATACAGATCATTACATCAGGTCCTGTGACCATCACCATCAGAAAGATACCTTTTCATATTTTCATCATTATTCACATTGCCAACCTTAAATAAAGAATTAATAACCCTGAGCACTCTAAGTATTCAGCGAAACATGAAATAAAAATTGATAGAATTATTCCCTACTACCACCACCACCACCACCATCACCGTCGTCATCATCATCATCACCATGAACAACAACACAAACATCCGACAGTCACAATGGCACATTACAAATGATGCTAAAATTCTATCGGGTAACCAAATTCAATTTTACCTTTATGTGTCTTGAAACAGGAGAGAGAACAGCTGCAAAAAGAGAAAAATAAATAACATTAGAGAATAGCTAAGCTTAAGGTTGGAAACATGGCCGTTGGAATCGAGGCATGTTATTTCGATCATACTTACTACTTTGTATGGCATGACGGGCATTTGTACTTATGTGCAGCGCTTGTACACACTTCACAACTGTTTAATTCTTTGTCAACCTCCTTCTTCATCGCATAGACGTTTTCGAAAATATTCTCGGAGCTCCAACCACGTTACCACGTTTATCTCCTTTGCGAGTCAGATTTCAAGAGACTGGGTTCTAATAACTCAAATTCATCCCAAGTCCCCCACGTGAGGAACGTGAGGAGTTACGTGAGGAGGGTTCTGAAAAAATATGGCGGCTTCCTTGGAGAAGGACAAATCTGAGGAAAAAAAAGACAAGGGGGTCTTGGAGCAGCTAGCTGTGAGCTACAAGTATTGTGTGCTGAAACACCCAATATTAACCAAGAGTGTTACAAGGTAAGAGAAAGTACAACAAACTTGAAATCATAAAAAATCAAATGCTGCATTGCAGACGTGAATCACCTGCGAGCGTTACTACGCAGGCTTCCTCCGCCGCGGGGAGAGATTATGACAGCAATTAAGTTCTTAAAGTTTTCCAACTGATTGTCTTCTTGCCCTTTCTTTAGTGTGTGTTCCTAAAAAACAAAAAGTTGCCGCTTATGTTTAGTCAGCTCATTTATTTGCATATCTACATAAGAGGGGGCAGGCAGGGCAGCCATGGTATATCCTTGCCCATTAGATACTGCAAGCAGAACGTTGCACGGCAACCAGTTTCGAACTGATGAGTGACTTCAGTGCATGCGTAAGAGACACTCATTGCAAAATATTCGTATATAATATTGTACTAAATTTGGATTTCTTAAATTTAGTTGGTGGACTCACACTAAGGGTAGACCATTTCCAGAACTCTTTTGCAGGGAGAGTGGAGCCTCCACTTCTTCTGAAAAATTCAAAAACTGATTAATAATTCATAAAGAAAAAACAAAAAAGACTAATGTTTAATGAGTGTCTTTATATCTTATAAAGACACGGCAAAACTTTATGTCCGACTTCAGCTTCCCCACGTCAAGCCACTAGTTAGCATCCCCCACCCCCCAAGTTGTATGTTCCACCATCTCTCTGTGTAAATGAGCCGTTAATGTTGGACTGCAACTTCTCGGTATTTGGTCAGATTGAAAAATCTTTAAATGGATAAAGCTGTTAAGAAGACATTTGTATCAAATTTAAGAAAAATGAGACAGCAGAAAACTCATAACTACCTTGTGTGTGAATTCACTGCTCATTATTCATGTAGGAATGAAGAAATGCAGCCAAAATCCACAATGACCAACTGATTCATTTTCCAAACAGTCATTTCATTAATAGAATCTTGGGGAGTTTGACCTGGCTTGACTGTAAGGGGTAAGTGAGGTGAGAAGGGGGGGGGGGGGGGGGGGTTTTGGGGCTGGGGGGGTGCAAAAGATGGGGGGGTGGGTGGGGGTGGGGGGAAAAAGTGGGTGGTGGGGGGGGTGGGTTGGTATAATGGGGTAGATTTTGTTTTCAGAAGGGGTTTTTTGTTTGTTATAAAAAAGACGGTGGGGTGTATTTTTTTATAAGGTTTGTTGTTATTATAAAAATTATCAGTAGAAAAAAAAAGAAATGCAACACAACCCTAAAAACCACACTTGTTTTTTTTCCAAAATGTGATGTTTAGTAAAGGTGTGTGGGGGGGTGGGGCGGGGGGGGGGGGGGGGGGGGGGGGGGGGGGGGGGGGGGGGGGGGGGGGGGGGGTGCTGTTTATGACTCTGCAGGTTCCAAATACAGTGCTGTGTCTGGGTTGCCAGGGAAAAAGTTGTTGTATGCAGAGGTTTGACTGTATCAATGGTGATCATTGCTTTTCAGGAAGTGATTGCTGGTGGTAAAGAAACAACACCTGGGTGATTTATTTTGAGACTGTATCCATGTAATTAAAACCCTGTTTGTTCTTTTAACAGTGCTGTTATCGCTGGACTTGGTAACTATGTATCTCAAAGAATTGAGAAACGTGGAAAAAATGTACCCATTGAGTATAGACCAGTGTTAGCCTTTTCAGGATATGGGTGAGTATACATTCCTACAAAAATTTTTGTATTGAATTACTGGTATGTGCAATAAAAAATCTTAATCACTGGAATTGGCAGGTAAGCCAGGTTCCTGGAGGGAGTACTGCCATATATGGAATATAAGTTACAGGTCAGTCAGGTTAAACTTTTTTAACCTACCGGTAGGTTGATTCTCAATTTTCTTTGTCTCCTAGCCCTAATTTTGACCTGTAACATAAATTATACAGGTATGTGCCACTGTAAAGAGTATGGTTTTCAAACAGTTTAGTCTGGGGTAGCGTATATCAGAGAGTTTCGATCTAGAATAGCAGATTAATTTCCAGCAAACTGATCAGTTTGTTGAAGATTTGATTCTAGACAAGGAAAACTAGGAATTGATGTTCCAAAAAAAAAATGAAGTGGGCAAATCTTACCCACGACTTAAGGTGTATGGAATGGTTCATCCAAAAATGTGGGTCTTGGAAAATTTTGGCCCGATCTCCAAATCTCGGAAGTGTTTGTGACAGGTTTTGAAGTGTTGTTTTTGGGTGATTTTGTGTCACGGAGTCTCAATTTTTTTAAAAAACTCAGTCTCGAATTTTGAAACCTCGCAAAGTCTCAAATTTACCATTCTATACCCCTAACTCCGTTCAATAGTAAGGAAAGTGCAGACCTCCATAATTTTTGGAAAATTGCGACTCTAGAATAGGGAGAGATTTTGGCAGTTTAGTCTATTTTAGGGTAGAAAAATTCATCCAAACTGGCTCTGGTATAGGCTTAGGGTTCCCAGGTTCAAGCGGCACATCCCAACCCAAACTTTCCTAAAAGTACCTTCCCTGGGTGCCAAGTTTCCTCTAGCTCATTTATTCAAGTACAAGAGTCAGGCATGGATCTAGGAGAAATACGTACCAATTTCCTAAATGAGCGCTGAAGGCGCAAACTTCTAGCGGGGTCCAGGGGCGGGCTTCCCCAAGAAACTTTTTGGATTTTTACTCCTTAAAGTCCTATTTCCTGGGTTTCCGAGTCATTCAGACAGGATATTGGCCAGATTTCAACTTGGAAAGTGTTTTGATTATTAAAAACATGTTTAATATGAAAAATGTGACCGATTTCCGTAAAACGATGGAAACTGGCATGTAGATCTGCACCTGCAAGTGTAATTTGTATTGTCAGTAGTATAATATTAACTCTTTCTCTACAGATTTTTTATAAGTGGCCCATTAATCCATTACTTCTATGAGTACCTGGAAAAGTTTCTTCCTAAATCAACCTCATATGGTAAAGCCAAGAGGCTGCTGGTGGACAGGGGTGTAATGAGTCCATTGCTTCTATTCATCTTTTTTTATGTAGTTGCAGTTATGGAGGTGAGTGAACCAAAATGTAGCAACTTGTCTTTGTGTGCACCAAGTGCACTTTGGAAGTACTTGGGTAGCCTATGAGCAAGCTCTCTGAGGGTAGAGGTGGCAGCAGTGGGACAGAGAAACTCCTGGATCCCACCCTCCAAAGAGCATGCTCATGGGCTAGTACCTTAGGTCACCTTCACCTATCCTCTTTGTGCACATAAAACCTTAGGTGCATTTTGTCTCATCAGGCCAGTTTATCGTTGTTCAAGAGCGAGGCAAGGAGCTCTGAACCACTGAAATCCTAAGTGCTAAGCATTTTGGATTTTCTCAAATATTTTAGTTTCTCTTTGCTGTCTGAGGGCTTTAATCAAGTCGCCAAGGGCTAAAGCCCTGTGCAAATGGACACAACATTATTGGCCAACGACTGCAAACATTGTTGGATGTTTCATGCATGCTGCATCCACCCTGTTGAAACTGGTCAAACTTTGAGCCAACAACTCCCAACATTTCTTTTGTTCTGTGGTCGCCGAAGCATGGCACAACACTGTTGGGGCCACGCAGGCGCATTACCAATGGTCTCCTTGGAGAGAGCAAGTCTTATGGGTTGTATCCTTTCCACGATGCATTGCAACTCCCAACATTGTTGGGAGTTGTTGCATCTGTTTGCATGACGTAACTTTATTGCGTACTACTCCCCCCAGGGGTCTACTGTGAGTGTAACCAGTGCATGTTGGACCTGAACTGTGCATTTTAGTCGTGCTTATTATTATGTACTGTACTGTCTTGCTCATGCAGTATAGTATGAATTAATGTTACTATAATTCTAGTTTATGTATAAATTTCTTTGCAGGGAAAATCACACAAAGAGGCAATGATAAAAATACGACAGCATTACTGGACTGCTCTAAAGATGAGTTGGCGAGTGTGGATTCTATTTCAGTACTTCAACCTCAATTATGTTCCCTTGCAGGTAAGTTCACCTAGTGTTACTAATTAGACGTAAAGTTTTAATAAGTTCTGCGCACTGTTTTAATTTGAAGATAACAACCTAATATCACTATCTGCTATTAATAGAGTAGACAACTGGAAATTAAAAGAAAAAATCTAACCAATGTTAAATTTGTTCTGAAAAAACTTTTTATTCATAATATTGATTAAGTTTCAGTTCAAGAATCTTGATTTAAATTTTCCCAAATGAATTTCATCTGTTTTTTTTTAATTATACCTGTTTTTCATCTGTTTTCAGTACCGTGTACTTACTGGTAATGTTATGTCATTTCTCTGGAGCATCTACTTGGCAAGCAAGCGAGCATGAAGACTTGGTTTACTCCTACTTGATACACATTTTAAGAGTCAAGGAAAAGTTTTGAACAAAGAGAATTAGTTGTTATTGAAAGAGTTTTATGACAATCATCAAATGGAATTAACATTGTGAATTTAGGTTGCTGAAGTTCTTTACACAATGATGAGATAAACTATTCTGTAATAAGAACAAAAATTGAGGAAATTTTGGGACTCAATTTTTCTTGCTGTATTTTGACATGTTCCTACAGGCTGTCTATACATCTGTAACAAAAAAAGTGCAGCAAAATGCTTTTTTTTTTTTTATGCAAAAAAACCTAGCCTCACTAACCATAACGAACTCAACAACAAATTGACTGGAATTTATTTTTAGTTGTTGATCATGATACCTTTCGTAAGTTCTAACAGTTTGCAGAGGATAACTATAATGGCCCCACCCGTGGGACAAAATCAATTATTCTTTCTTCAGATCAAGAAATTTTCATCTTTATTGGCTATATTTACATTTTATAGATATTAATATTAATTTTTATTACAGAACTATGTATGTACTCAGAAAGCAGGGCAAAAAACTTTCACCTTTCCATTCATCTCAGAGATAAGCAGTTTTTGGCTCAGACAATGAAAACTCTTGAAGCACTCATTTTACTGTATTATTAGTCAAAGTGATGGTGTATTTTCTTCCAGATTTGAAAGAAGTTGATAAGGCGTATAAAATTAAATAATTAGAAACTTTCCAAATATAATCTTAAAATGTGAAATAAGAATAGTCATCAATCAAATTATTTTTGTCTTTTACAGAAAAGAGTGTGTCTTAGGTATTACAAAGCAGTGGTGTTTGTCTGGGTAGTAGTAATAATAGAGACCTTAAGATTCAAGGAGGAGGAGGACTACGAACGAAGTTTTTTTTTTCACGTATTCTCAAAAAATAGACAGCCTGGAAAGCTTCATTGTGCCTTTGATTCACAAGAAAATCAAGTACTGTTATCTTTATTAAAGGAGGTTAAGCGCCTCTCCCGATTGAAAAATGATAAAACTTCTAACATTTGATAATTTGTTTTCACCAATATGATATTCTCGCTAAAACTCATAGTAAAATGACGACAGCTGTGTTTTCCCACCAAAGTGATGCCGGTTCATGTGAAAGCACTTCTTACATATAGTGTTGAGAAAATTTTGTATGTATTCAATTCATTAGGTCTCTAATGAAAGATAATTTTTTCTTTTTTCATGTAAATACATATATGTGTTGTTTCCAATTGAAATTACATTCACTGGAGGCTCTATTTCATTTTTAACTACCTGTCAGTATAGATTCCTCTGTGTGTTTTTTCAATGCAAAATAAGCATGGGAATCTATTGCTTTGTTTATTATATTTACACAGATATTTAATAACCTTACATCAACGTGCCCCTAACAAAATAATGTCAATCTCAGTTTTGCAATTAAAATGGGAATGAAGAAACAAAGGCCTTACCATTTATAAATTGATGAAGAGAAGAAAATGTTTAGAGCTCTAGCTGATGCCATTATTCTTTAGCCTGAATTTCAGACGATTAGTTTGAGGCCTTTTTTACTCCCTCAGTGAGGGAGTAAAAAACAGAGAGAAAAACAACTTGATGTAATCGTCTTAAATTCAGGCTCATTATTCTTGTGTTGAATGAGGTACAAACATGGAGGAAAATCGATGTCAAATACCCTTAAGATTAAAACTGGTGGCAGTGATGTTCTCAAACAATTTGTACAGAACATATACAGTAAAAAATGAATGCCATAAGGTGATTGGCATGATGAGTGCAATTTGTGTGCTGTTAGGTAGTAGGTATGGTACAAATCAAATTCTCCTTCTTTTTTTGAATTTTTTAGTGAATTCTGTATTGAAGAGAGATGACCAAAATTGCTTTCTAAGTATACCTGTCCAATGAACAAGTGAAATAAAGGAACTTTTTTGCCCTGAGAACATCATAAACATCTTAAATTTATATTTGAATTTTACATAGATATTTGCTAGGAATTTTGAAGTAGTCCATGAATGATTGCTAAGGAGGATGACTTGTAACCTGTACCAAAGTGATTCCTAAAATGAATGATAAATACAATAAATTATTATGATCTTACTGTGTTCATATCACTGGTGTTTTAAAAGTTCTACTCAATATTTACTTTGATTAATCAATTTATTTACATAACTTTGGTTTGCCAATTTCGGCAGGGTCACTCACTGCCACTGCACATGTCACCAATATTACTGTAGACCCATAAGAGTCCCCTCCCCCCACGAGAGATAGACAACAACACCAAGGTCTATGTTTTCCACTGTTCTACGTACCCTTCCAGATAGGATGAAGGAGATGAGGTCAATGGCTTAATGACACTGCCCAATGCAGTGTTCTTACCAGGATTTTGTTCACTGGGGTCCATAGGACCCACAGAGAGGGAGAAAAGCGGGTCCTAATATTATTTTTAGATACAGGTTACTCAATGTTTTCACAGGTCTGAGTCTTGGATAATGGATAAAGACACAATAACCAATTAAATTTTGGCTCATATTATAAGGAAATGTAGGCATTTGTGGGTATGCTTACATACGATATGTAATAGTTTTTTTCCTTTCTTTGCACCTCAGGACCCCTTGGGCTAATTATAGTGTGGCATAATTTCTGGAAAAAGAGCAGCAATGCTGCAATGCCGCGGTTTGAACCAATGTCAGGGTTCATACAAAAAATTGCAACCATTTTTCAAGGACTTTTCAAGGACTACATTAGATTTTCAAGGACCACCTACTAGAGATATAATTTGACAGATTGTACAAAAATGTACATTCCCAGTCTATTCTAATAAGACTTTAAGGCTTCAACTGTTTGCTTCACCAACTTCTCTACATTTCCTAAAATTCAAGGACTTTTCAAGACTGTGCGAAAACTGCATGTCCTTCCACGCAGACTGGCCCTCTCTCAACTGAGGTTAATGCCACCCCATGTCAGTTGATGAGTATATTGTAACTATGTTGTGTAATGTTTCAAATTTTATTGCACTCATTATCGCACTGAATGATACATTGACGTGTAAACACAATGTGAGTCTGCTGTAAACTACAAAGCATAATATGTCAAAAATGGATTTCATACTTCCAGAGTTGTCACTAACATTTCAAGTTGCCTGGTGAATACAACAAGTAGGCAGGGAAAGAAACAGCTAGGGGTTTCTTTTGGTTCTATTTTTCTTCTATTTTCCTTTGAAAGTAGCCAGGGGCCACGTTCATGGTAGCCGGAGGAAATCCCCTGCCTCTGCCCCTTAATGACAGCTCTGTACTTCATTAACTGTTCTGAACATCATAACATACACAATTAACTTACCAGTGGTTTAAATGGTGAAAAAGCTGATACAATTGATGCCTTTTATTAAAGCCTTTTTCTTTGGGTATCTCCTTGTGATAAGCATCATAAAATGTCTCGGAAAAGCCACCAAACATTCCTGCTATTGCCAAATCAAATTCATGATGGCCATAAAATGAAGCTGGATCAAATACAACTGCAAGCATTAAAAGAATAAATCTGTCGTTTCAGTCAGCGACTGTAAAAAGGCCAAAAAGGGCTAACATATGCATTTCATGGATGTGAAAAAGTCAAGAAAACGTTCTGGTTTTGTGATTTACTTTGCCTAGTAGTCCCTGTACGGCGTCTTCCCAGGCCTTCTTGGCATGGTCAATACATTTCGGTGATGTATCTGAGACTTAAACAGCTGGGAGACCAAGTGACCTGGAACACATCAGCCACGCACAATATCGAGGCCTTGGGACTAGGCAATGGTTTACTCATGTTTTTAAGACAGTGCATTTATGGCATTTAAGAGGAATGCACAGTTCTAAACTAGATAATATGTGAAAGTCAATAGAAAGTATGAAAGAGGTATTAACTTTTTTTGTCAGAAATGGTAAATAGAAGGGTACTAAAGGGGTTGTATGTCAGCGTGGAGCATCCTCACATAACTCTTCATTGAAGTAAAACGCCCCTGGAGTGGAAACTTGATGTTTTAGGTGTTCAGGAATTGGTGAAAAATGCCTTTTTATTCGCTACTTGCTGGCTGTCATCATTGTTTGGGTTAAGTCCTGAGAATGACCAACATCAATTTTCTCCCACCGATCTCAATATATTATCAAGGGAAAAGGTTATGAGAATTAATGAAATGATCATCTGCAGGAAATGCCTTGTCCTTAAACAAAATTCTGTCATCCATTTTTTTTTAGGAAATGTATGGACTTGAGCAGTCTGGAAAATTGTTTTGTAGGAAAATAACTGGGGGTTAAAGGGTGCAAGGGCTAACTCCTTTACTCCTCTTGGGAAGAGACATCTTTGTTGACCCATGGAAAACAGTACTAAAATTTCCCTCCTCGCAAGCACTCCCCAGTTCTAGGAACTTTTACAATGTTAAGGTTCTCCAATTGGGAATTAAGAGACAATGCTGCATCCTCTTTGTAACTATAGTTCTTCCTTTAATGTGATTGAATGTAACATATGTATGTAGCATTCCCACACTGCTTGCCTCAAATAGCTTTTGCTAACTGCAGGCAGTGTGAATGTGTAAATGTATTTCTTTAAGGCTTAATAAAGTTGTTGTTGTTGTTGTTGTTGTTGTTGTTGTTAAGCAATGTGGTGCTATCTTTTAGTTAGTACATGTATGTATTTAACAGTTTAAAATGATTTGTAGTTGCATTACCTGGACCATCATCTGTTTCTGCTGCATTTCCACTCCAAAGGTCCCCATGAAGAAGAGAAGGCTTTATATCTGGTACATCTTTAAAGAACTCTGGTATTTTTAGCTTAAGGCTTGACCAAAGAGATCTTGCCTCTGAATCTCCATACTGAAGATGTACATCACATCCCACATGTCAAATTGAACAGCAACAAATTAAACTGCTAATTCAAAGGCATTGAAACTGCACTGAGGGAGGAGGGGACAGAGGAAAGTGAGAACAATGTTATATTATGCTACTTTCTCAACAGAGACAACTACAGGTGGCTTGACTTAAGTACTACATATTGAGATTTTTGTTCCTCTGTCTTCTCTCTCTTATTATTCAGGATTAAAGAGAAGGAAATTAAAATCAACCTGAAGAGAAACCATTTAACAAATTTACTCCTGACCTATAGGAATTGACATATCCTACCTCTTTATCAATTAGGTCCATTTGCTGCTGTAATCTATTGGTGTAAAATGTCTACAACAAAATATGAGGCCAAAATTACTATTAGTTTTGATTGCAATTGCAGTGAAGCATACTTTGACTGTTCAAAAAGCTATGGAGGAGCTCTATGGTCCTGTTTTAATATTCAGAAGTTGTCCTATAAGGTAAAGGAACGTTGTCCGCAGCTGGTAGGACATTGCTATCGGCACCCTAAACTGTCCCCATACTAGTATGGGAACCAACAAGGATTCCAGTCTGACAGCTTGCAAAGGCTTTACATAGTTTTTTAATGAAAGATGAAGAGAGAGAGTCTGGCAAAGGGCTTATTAGCCTGTTGGCTAATCAAAAAGTGTGGTGCATCAGACACAGGGTCCCTCTCAAACACAGAAATGGAAATGACAAATAATGGCAATGATGATGATGATGATGATGATGATGATGATGATGATGCTGATGATGATGATGATGATGATGATGATGATGATGATGATGATGATGGCGATGATGATGATGATGATGATGACAAGAAGGACTGATTCAATTCAATACAGCTGTATTTCCTGACTTTGTTACCTTCCCTTTTTCAGGATTATTTCATTTCCGTGGCTGCAATTTATACATTAAAATGTCATCACTTACCACCCAGTCATCACACCATTCATTGTTTTGTCCAATGTAACCACAACATGTAACAGCTGGGAAACCAAATTTATGAATAGCTGTTGGGTCCTTCCCCTTTCCAATCCTGTTTTCCTCTATTTCAGCCTTCTGTAATTTTTTAATGTTATCCATATGTAGTCTGTGGGAAGAAACAGGACCCAGTTTAATTTAACCAGATCTATAGAAGATGATACCACGAGATCTGATCATCTCTGTATGTTTTGCATGAGAAGGAGGGTGCCTATGATCCACTAATTTGTAAGATCACATGCAAAAAAGCTAGTATCTGGTTTTCTTTCTGATTGGTTTTGAAGTAACACGTATTATAAAGTTCTACTCTTATTGGCTGAAGGGTTTCAATCTTAAGAATTTCCAAGTCAATTCCCTAAAGGCAACAAGAGCAAATCTGAACATTCTTCAAGTGAAATGAAGCTTCAGATGGAATTGCTATACAGTTGCTAGTCGTTCAAAGATTAGTGCCATTTTATTGCCTTCCCCGAGTACAAATTTATTCTGGTAACAGATGTATTTCATACCCACAATCATCGAAATCTGATCCCCATCATGGCTATGAAAGGCTGACCAGACATAAGTTTTAGGGTGTTTGGTGTCTCTTTAACAAACAAAAATTTAATCAGGCATTTCATTCTTTTCCTTTTCTTCCCCAAAAGAAAAAAAACCCACCTGATTGACTTTGACTGACTGTTTATTAAAGGCGGACACCTCTAAGAGATGGTTGAGTTACCTTCCAAGTTGTGCTCCTAGTTGTGCTTGATATTTCCTCAAACCCTTCATATCAATATGTTCCATAATGAAAATTGATCCACTTCCAGCAGGATGGTCAAATATCTACTTTTAATGAAAAAAAAAAATGTAGACTGATGTAAGAAGATGATCCCTACAAAAACACAGTTCTCTTTGATTGATGCTTATAATATTTTATTTAAGTGTTTCCACTGAGGTATGCCGTTTTTTCAGTAAAGACTAAGTAGTAAAGAGCAAAACTACTTGTAGGCAAAACAGAACAAAAGTTACTGTAAAATTAAGGCCCCATCCACACGTGTCCAGATATTTTTGAATCTGCAACTTTTTCTTTGAGGATTCGACTTCAGTCCAAACATATCTAGTGAATCCAGCATACAAATCCGCAACTTTTTTAATCTGCTCTCCAGAGTGGAAAATTTTGAATATGCTATGAATCTAGAATCTGTTGGACACTAAATCTGAATATTTTTGTTTATCCAATGGCATGACAAGATCAAGCCGAGTTCTTTACTGTGAATAGTCAAGATGGCTTCTTTATTGCTTCTTACTACTTCTTAAATTATTTTGGCATACAACTGTAACTACAGAATACAGGAAAATTTTCTAGGTATGTTTGTTGGAGCGGCTTGGCGGCTTGGTTGTCCTGACTGATGAGACACCGAGCCACACAACTATATAACCTTTCAAGACTGAAGAGCCACTAAGTTGTCAAGCCAGAATAGATATGTTGTAGTTTATTTTTTATCTCAGGTAATTTTTATTTTTCCTTTGTTTCAACTTTATTATCACATATTACCTGTTACCTGAGATAAAAAATTAACTACAACATATACCTTTCTCGTTCTTTAAGACGCTAACCTTGACTGATGAGCCATAGAGCAACCGAGTCACGAAAATACATATCTTTACTTGCTCTTTAAATCTTATACTCTTACATCTTTTTTATGTCTGTCTTATACTTTTTTGTCTTATACATTTCTAGTTCTTTAAACACTTGTCATGACTAGTGAGCCATCAAGCCACTTCTGTTTAAGACCTTAAAATATGGCCCTGTATTCTGTAGTTGCTCCCTTATTACTAGTCTTATGTGTGTGCAGGTTAACCAACAGTCTCAGTCAAAATTGTTAGGACACTTACTTGTCTTCTTGCCCTCTCAGTGTTGGTGTGCAAGATTTGGTGAGTCAACTGCGATAAACAACATAATTTGGGAGAACAAGGAGATGGGCCACAAGTGAAAAAAAAAAAAAACAGCGTTGAGTGGAAGTGTCCCAACCATTTTTGTCTGAGACTGTGGCAATCATTACTGCACACTTCAATATTATGTCAAACTGCAAAACAGTTAAATTGAAGAAGAATGTCCTGAAATTTTTTTGCGTGAGCTGAAGATCGCCTTACAAATCAGCTGTCGTACTATGAATGAATCCGGATAAGTTATGGAATGGAAACCCATTAGACTCCTTTGTTGTATGTTTTTGTTAGCTAGCTTTTATGGTCCCGACTATGCACAACATAGTATTCATATCATTTTGAACAAGTTTACTGACCAATAATAGAGACACCGCATTAATTTATTCAGTCACAATTTGCGCACAAAAAACAAAGGATTGTGCACGGTCAGGGAGCTTCCAACATAAACTAAACCACCGTTGTTTCCAACTTAGATGTTTGACGGCTTTTAAAATAAACAGATACGTAGTAGGTAGGCAGATACTAGATAGGCTAACCTTGATTGGTTTAGGAACTCGGACCGTGTTCGTTGGATAAATGGTTTCGAGGCTCAAAAATTCACCTTCGAACATTTTCGTCGCCTGAAAGGAAAACCAAACCAACTGTTTATTTAACAAGCGGAGAGTTTGACATAACGAAGGAGATTCCCCTCTATTGATACGTCAAATTTACCTCAGATTTCTCGTTGACTTTGACAAAGATCTTTCCATTTTCAGTAAGATAACTCTGGCCTTCGTTGATGCAACCACCAGTTGCAAATCGTAAAGGCTTTAATTTTGTTGTATTTAGCTCCTTCTGCAAGATTTCTTCAAGTTTGGAAACCTGCAAACTCCTCGCCATGTTTAAAGCGCCCGCGATGGTAGTCAGCGTATTCTACAACGCGCGCATGTGAACGGGGATGCAATTTTTGCAATTGTAAACTTTGAAAAAATGGCGCGTTGCTTATCCAAATTCCTATAGTTTCGCTTCGATGGTTTCACCATTACAGCATAGTTGAAAATACTCATTAACTTGAAATTATCAATCGCAAAGTTTTAAAAAAGTCACTGAATAGATCGGCCTTCTTTTAAACAAAATCGGGATGATAATTCGCTACGTAAATTAGGATTCGGAAAAGGTAGTTTCGCTATGAGCAGAATTAAATCAATTCAGGGTAGAAAATATGGAAGAATTTAGAGCTGTAGACGCTGGGAGCATTTCTCAGAAGGAAAATAACCCATATTTTGCCGAAGATGGAGAAATCGTGAATTCCAACATAAAGATGAGCATTCAACAGGTTGGAGGTAGGTGATCGACATCTGATCAGTGGATGAAAATTCGATGATCCAATATCTGTCGATCGGTCAATTTTGATAAGTTGATAGATATTCAGTTAAACGAATACTCATGCATCGTCAGTGATAAAATTGTTGAATGAATGCTTTTTTCAACTTTTCTTATGGACCTTCAATCTATGAGCGCCTGCATGTATTTCTTTTATTGGTTAGACATTTAAAACAAAAGTAATGAGTAATTATAATTCCACAATTAAGTAATTGTTACCTTTAGTGATCACAACTAGAGTGTTTAAGTGTGGTAGTCAATTTCAAAATACCCACCACCCCTCCCCCTACTTGTAGTACCTGTCATATTGGTAAATTAAAGTATCACTGTCAGTATTACCTGATTATCAATAATATGTAATCTTGCCAATCAAGCTTGTTTTAGTTTTTTTTAATAAGTCCATCATCACTTTTTTGTGCTTTCATTTTCAGTAGTACAGAAATCCCAGCAACCTTTAAAGGCCAGGAATATGGCAACACAACCTCAAAATCAGACCGAGCTGTTGGAGAAATTCAGAAAGCTGCGTCAATGGCAACAACAACAACAAGAAAGCATGTACCGTCAGCAGCAGCTGGCTATGGAAACACTCAAGGTTGAAAAAAGTAAATTGCAAACCATCTTAGCAGCTCAGAAGAAACTTCAAGAACAACAACATGTTTTAAACCCAACAAATTATTCTCCAAATTTAGAAACTGCATCAAGCCTGAGGGATGTTATGATTATGCCAAGCCAACAAGAACATTTCTCAAGGATGCCCACATCTGCTGTGATGAGGCCAGAAGCTGAATATCATTCCAGTGAAATGGCTGGACCTAACAGCACTCCTGTTCCTGTTTCATTTCCCACATCATCATCTGTTCCTGTTTCAGGAAGTGTGGTAACCCAAGTTGAATCCTCCTCTAGTTCATCAGAGTCACCTAAAAATCTTTATCATTTGCAGCAACAAGTTGCATTCCCTGGAATTCAGATGCCAGCGAAATGCAAAGAAAACCTTGAAGAAAGTGTAGCATCTTTTAATGCAACAGTTTATCCTATGATGTGGAACTCACCAAATTACCACCTCCCTTGGGGATCAATACCCATCTCTTCTGGTGTGCAAGTCACCCCTATGCATGGGCAGCCTGTTGTTGGTTTCACAAGTCCAGGTAGCCCCATGTCGCATATAGGAATGATTACCAGTAAAATGACTACAGCTGCACAGGGTTCTCAAAGTCAAAATTCAACTCCTGAGCATGAAGGATTCAGAAGGTATATTAGCCAAGAGACAGGGATCCAGAGTAATTTAGAAATGAATGTAAAAGATCATAATGATGCTCTTCAAAGAAACACTACTCCTATTGCAATCACACAAGGTAACGAAAGACAATGGAATCTGGATCCTGCAGCACAACACCTTCTTGCTAGCGTGGAGTCTCATGCTGACGACCAGTCAGATGTGGACGCCATGAGTGGAGTGTACCCTCTGTATGATTCTGAATCTGAGGTAGGTTTAAATGACGTAGGTCAAGGAGGGACTGAGGACGTGGATACTGGATCTGATGCTGAAGAGGACTTTGATGAAAGTTTTGAAAAGGAAAAAACTGTTATAGACTTAACAGTTGCTTCTTTGGAATCCAATGTAGCAGTGAGTATTAACTTCCATGAACATGTAAAAAACGGATGTGATATTAGTGACATTCAGTTTATTCCTTAAAAGTTATAATAGCTAGTTAATCATTGAACTGATTTTGCAAAGCAAAGAACTTGTTGGTGTTGGCTTTGAACAAAAGAATGTAGAGTGCTGACTGTGCTTTGCTTTGCCTGTTTTTTCTTGGAGAAAGGTAGAATATGGCTAAAAAAGATGGAGCAATTTTGAGTAAAATAAAGCAGCCAAAAGTCGCTTTGCATAATACAGTGGAACCTGAATTTAACGAAGGGCCAAGAGACCGGCAAAATGTGTTCACTAGAACAAAGTTTCGTTATATCAAGGTTGTTTTTCATGTATAGCTGATTCAATAAAGACTTCTTTGGGCATTGGGAATTGGCCATTGGGCATTGGGCATCTGAGTGTACGGAACAGTGTAATTATTTGCCTGAGTGACCACCAAACAATAGCTTCCTTGTGCCCAATTCCCAATGCCCAAAGCAACATTTATTGAATCAGCCATATTTTACTATCACTGGGGTAAAGAAAATTGTCTGTTATACTGAGCACTTCATTATATAGAGGTTCGTTATATCAAGGTTCACTGTAGTGCTCTTCCAAGCCCTTCAGTTCTTTGGAAATTGTATGAGAATACAATCTCAAAGTTCAGGGTTATTTGTGTTTAACTTTTGAAGGAGTTCTCAGGTGTAACAGGTAGATATTTGAGGCCTGATTAATATCAAAAGCAGTTGGAAAAAATTGAAAATCAGTAAGACAAAGTAGGGAGATGGCTTTTAATATTGGTTCAAATAGCCATGAATAGATGGCAGCTGCCCTCTAATAAATATTAACAGAAATCAAGTCTCGTGCTGCATGTGGGAGTATACAGTTGCACATGTATAATGTTACAGGTCAAATTTGATTTCAGGTTAAATTTGATTTAACCTAGGTTGATTCTCAATTTTTTTTTGTTTCCTTTGAATAATTAGGGCTAGGAGACAAAGGAATTTGAGAATCAACCCAGGTTTAAAAAATTTAACCTGAAATCAAATTTGACCTATAACATATATTACATGTAATTTATTAATAACAGACACTTTTGTCAGAACAGTTTGTATGCTAGTTCTGACCTTTTAAAATTGTTTTCAGTGTGTGTAGTGTGTCATTCACTTCATGCAATCTTTTTACAATTTCCTCTTTAGAATGAAAATCAACAGGGAAATGAAAAACCTGAAGTAAATGATGAAATGAGACCTATCAAACCAGGCATAGGTACGACAACATTCAATAACTGCATCTACGTTTTATGTTATGAGTGTTATATCTTGTATGGACAAATTTTCCTTTTCACTGTGTCATTTCTTTTTAATTTCCAGGAAGTGGATCTACTGTAAACACATTCGAGGAACTTTTAGAGAAACAACTTAAACTTGAGGAGGTTAGCTCTGTTACATGTGCATCATGTCTTGTTTTTGTTTTGGATTCTGTGCTCATTTATCATTTATCAAGCTAACTCAAGATTCTTGTGATGTAATTGGTGTATGCCCACAATAAACACATTTTTATGTGAATAAACTTGTTGCTCCTGATCCTTATATAAACTATTCTTTGGAAATGCAGGGTATCTAACAAGTTGTATTAATTTTTTTCTGTTATTTTGTTCAGGCTTCCAAAGAAGAGAAGACATCACAGGATAATGCAAAGCAGAAACCTCAGCGAACATTCCTTAGAAAAGGTCAAGGGCTTGCCAGGTTTAAAGGAAAATCAACATCAAATAAACCAGTAGGTCTACAAAAGCAATCAACAAATCAGCCATCAACAGCCCCTCAGAAAAAGGAAAAGAAGACAACTAGGAATATGGAGTCTGCTTTACCTCAAGGAAGTATTAAACCAGTTGGTGTCTCTGTTAGTCAGAGCCAGGTACTATAATGGTAACTTTAATATATACTTATATTGTAAAAAAAACAAAAACAATTTCCATCCTTTACACAGCATGCATTTAACTGTAATCAATGCTAATCAATTGTTTGGGGGGGCTAAGTATACATGCTAGCAACAGCTTGCCCAAATGCCATGGAAAGCTGTAAAACTGATAGTAAATTGTTTTTATAATGCTTAACCCATT